CTGAGGGGCTCTAGGGTATACTCTGAGGGCCCGGGCCCCGCTGAGGCTTCCACTGGGCGCTCTTGGGCCACCATTCACCATCCTCAACTCCTGGTTATACAAGGACGCCTGGCTGGAAAACTCAGTGACAGGAGAAAAAGGGAAACACATCCACACCCTCCTTTCCTGAGGCTGTCCCCCGGTGGCAGGCTGGCCCCTCCTCCCCTAGAGTCACACACAAAGCACGCTTCCCATGTAACTCGGGAGTGTCCCAAATTTTCTGATCAAGGAGATTATGGGGCCAAAGAGGAAAGTGATCAATGATGTAGAGTGTGCCTAAGGAGAGTCACATGGAGGGAAAACATTCTCTCAGGCTTTCACAGAGAGCACATTGGCCAAGCAATGGCTGTGACTCATCCACATGGCAGACCCTTACAAAGAATCTATAAACTGTGGTAGAGGGGATTTGACTGACCTTGTCATATACAAAAGCTACAATTCTTGTTACGTAGGTCTTACTTTATCTTGGTCTTAACCATCCAGCAGAAAAGTATAAAACTGAAGTATAAGAAGTAAAGCCATGGTGTTATGTTGAGCTGTAGGGGACTCAGGCCAACAATTTCTGACATTGCCAGTCAAGCGGAAGATCCAATACTATTATGAGTTACTGGACTCTTTTAGAATATTTTGCTGAGTTTACACACCTATAATATTCAAATAACGGAACTTAACAAAAAAGGGGGATACAGATGAATGACCATTTTGTATCTGTGCATTCAAAGTGGTTAGGATAGATATATAGTTACATTCTCTTAATGAATAGAGGGATTTCTTCTAATGGTGTTTGTAAATAGGATATCATGTCCGCATCTTGTACAGCAATTAACCACTAGGAATAGAGTATGCAATGTGTTAATTATGGAAACTGTCCTACCAATTTGGTTTGAAACTGTCTCATTGCTATTTGTCTCTCAATAAAATTATGGGGAAACAAGTGGGCTTCCACGCACACTCGGGTCTGGCAGGCTTACTGTGTGAACATGGGACACAGCAGACACCCCAATGCCAAGGCGTGCTTACTTTCCTGTGTTTGCTTACACTGGAAACACTTCGCCTTGACTGTCGACATTTCTTTCTTTCTTTTTTATTTTTTGTGGTACTGGGGTTTGAACTCAGGACCCTGCACTTGCCAGGAAATATTTTCTTATTTTTCTATTCCAGAGAAAAACTCTGGCTGTTACTTTCTTTTTAAAAAAAATAATTTTATTGAGAAACAAATAGCCATGAGACAGTTTCAAAACCAATTGCTAGCACAGTTTCAATAATTACTACATTGCATATTGTTGTCTTAGTGGTTATTCATTGTACAAGATGCAGACATGATATCCTGTCCACACAATTAGAACAAGTCTCTCTATTCATTGAACTAAGAGAATGCAGCTGTATATCTATCCTATTTTGAAGATACAGATATAAAATGCTCGTTCATTTGTATCCCTCTTTTGTGTTTAGTTTTGTCCTTCCACAGAGCGACAGCAACAGCCAGAATTCACACACCCACAATATTTAAATGACTGTCAACATTTCTTAAAAACAATTTGAATGCGCACACCAAGGTCACCCCACACACGTGACATAACGAGAGCATGTCTGAACACTGATGTTGCTTCTACATTTGGGGCTTATACGTGACGCGGAACATGACACTGCCTTCCACGGAAATCTTCCACTACAGCACTTGGCAAAAAGAACATGAAAGCGGCCTTTCTTTACAGCACATATTATGACTAATTCGAGTGTAGTGATAGGATTTTCTTTCCTATGCAAATCTGCCCAGAAATGATACTGGATGTGGGCCTTCTGGTCAGACAGAAACGGACGATAAGCAAGCCAGGAGGAGCGAGCGGGCTCCAACAGAGCACTGTGGGAGGCCGTGACCCGGGAGAGGGGGCCGTGCGGGTAGGGAGACAGCACCGCCCGGCCCTTCACATGGGAAGTGCCAGCTTCCCGTAGGTGGAGGGCTGTAGGAGGCTCGGGTTGATCACAGTCTCGTTTCTGGCTCTACAGAGTGGCCCAGTGTAGTCCTTACTGCTGGAGCTGGGCCAACCCGGCTCCCCTGGGACCACTGCTCCTGCATGGCAGGGAGAAGGACAGCCCCGATGTCTGCCACAGGATATCTGCTCCCACCGGAGGATGATGGCATCGCAGGGTGCTCTGTCCACGGGGCTCTGCTGCTGCTGGGACCCAAGGGAGCTGCAGGTTTAGGACAACGACCAGAGGTGACAGGGCCCTGCTCTGGGGGGTCTGCAGGGAGATGTTACAGAGGCTGCCCCTGGGCATCTCTGCTGTCCTGAAAGGAACTCAGGTACTCATATCTTGGTGACCTCAGACTTGGAAGGAGAAGAGCCAGGCTAGGACAGGGGGCTTGGGGACTTCCCATCCTCTCCCAGATCATTTCAATAGCACACAGGCCAGGGATCAGAGCGCAGGAGTCCACATCTGTCCCCAAGGTTTCCCTGTGTGTCCCAGAATCATGTCCCAGGCTGAGTGTCCCTTCTCAGCTGGGCTAACAGTAGCCTCAGATGAAGAGGAAGGGGGACCTTGGGCTAGGTTCAAACTTTCCAAAACCTACATTCAGATTGGCATCCTGTGCTTTCTAGATGGAGTAAAGCCTACTCATTCCATAAGATTGCTTCGTGAGGAGAGAAAAATGATTTGCAAGCTGAGCGACCTAGCCCGTCCTTCTTACGAAGACTAGCTCTACACCTCTGGCTAGTGGCCGTGGTGCTGCTCTGAAAGCTTCGGTCTGTGAAGGGCTTACCCAGACCGACACCCACAGACGCTGACGAGCGAATTTTCTCCTGAGTTGTTGAGCGTCACGAGTTCAGTGACATCCAAGACGATCTGAAATCAGTGAAGCCAGTGATTTCTGTGGTCTCAGTCTCTTCTCCATTTTTGATCAGTAGATGTGACCCCCCCATATTGGTGGGGCTCGAGGCCGCACTTCCCCACCCACTGTAGCCCCCCCCCCCCCCCCGTTGGATTCCTAAGCTCAAAGGGCAGGATCATCTTGAGGCTGCTGGTGCGCTCTGTCGCTGCATTTTCCTGGTGTGATTAGAGCCGAGGGAGGGAATGTCCACTCGGGGACGTCCTAAGGGAACGCCGCAAAGATGCCATAAAGCAAGAGACGAGGGAGGAAGGGAAGCACAGGCAGATCCCCCACCTCTTCACTTTGTAAACACACTTGTTCTTGCAGCCACACGGGCCCCTGGCAGGTGCTGTGCTTGAGACTGGGGGTCCCATGAGTTTGGGTGGTGACAGCATCCTAGGGGTACCACACTGAACATGCTCGAGCCGGGCCTGGTGCGGGCAGCCGCTGGGGTGTGACCTCAAGGGCTCACACTACTGCCACTCGTGCCTCCTCTCTGCATCCTGAGCACCGTGAGGTGGGCGGCCTTCTGCCCCCGCCGCAGCCTTCGACCGGGCCAGCTCTGTTCTGGAACTGGCTAACTACGGGCTGGATTCTTTAAAACACCATGAGGTCAAACAAGCCTGTCATCCTGTCAGTTTAGCTGTAGGTGTTGGGATATTTTTGTCCCACCGGAGAAAGTAACTGGGCCAGCCAAACTCCTTGAGGGTGAAACTGGGCAAAGCATCTGGCATCGGGGACAGCTTCTGGTCACAGCACTAGCCATCACCGTCAGGACCCCAGGGAGGATCTTCAGCTCCACGGGGGTGCAGTGGGGGCAGGCGGCGCTCACGAGGCCTCTGGCCCGGTGAAAACTTGGCCAAAAGGAAATGCATGTGTGGGTCCCTCTTACGCACAGCAGCTTGGAGGCCACATCCCACCTCCTGAGTATCGAGAGAGCATGAAGTCTAATTAACCCGCAAGATTAGCGTTGATTACACAAACGAAAGTAAACTTGCTCATTAGCAGGCAGGGAGTCCGTGTGCAAATAGTTCTTCGTGTCAGGCACAGAGAAGAACCCAGGAGAGCGCGACCCTGGCGGGCGAAGCCGTTCATCCTTGTCTGGATCTCGGCCAAGCGTTGGTTGCGGAGGCGGGCTCCCTTCCGAATTCCAGAGCCCTCATGCCTCAGCGCAGACCTGAGCCGGGTACAGTAGGGTCCTGCAGGTGCCCTGGAGCTCCCTGTG